GAGGAGGAGGAGGAGGAGGACGAGGAGGACGAGGAGGAGGGGGAGGACGAGGAGGAGGGGGAGGGGAGGGGCAGGGGGAGGTGGACAAGCTAGGTGCGCTCGCGTCATATCTGACATCCTACCCCTCCCTCCCATCCCTTACCATGGCGCAGATCCCCTCTCTACTCGCTCAGTCGGATGTCGAGCACGGCAATGATCCCGAACGGGTACGCGATGTATTGTAGAGCACGGCATGGCATGGCGTAGAAGAGCACCGCAAAGCGTAGTATCAACCTAGCATTGCTTTGCATGCCGTGGCATGGCACGGGAAATGACGCCAGCGCTGCAGCGGGAGCACGAGTCGAAACGAGCGGAAGCGCGGAAATGAGGCCAGCGCTGCAGCGGGAGCACGATTCGGGACGAGCGGAAGCACGGAAATGAGGCCAGCGCTGCTGCGAGAGCACGATTCGGAACGAGCGGGGCCCGAAAATGAGGCCGGCGCCTCAGCGAGAGCAGCATTTAGAAACAAATGCAGGCGAAAACCCAGCTCCGGGGAAACCTGTGTGTTAAAAAACAGTACGCGGGGGGGGTCGGCCACTTTCAAACCGTCATCAGGGGAAGAGGGAGAGTAGTATTCATATTGAGTAATTGTGGAGGGGGAAGCGGAGGAGGATGCGGAGGAGGAGGAGGAGGAGGAGGAGAAGGAGGAGGTTGAGGAAGTGGAGGACGAGGATGAGGAGGAGGAGGCGGAGGCGGAGGCGGAGGAAGAGGAGGTGGAGGAGGAGGAGGAGGGACATGGAGGGGGGTGGAGCAGGAGGATGTAGCAGGATGAACGACCACACAAAGGCATGAGAAGGGGGAATGCCGAAGACTCATGATGATCCTAAGGATGATGCTGGCTATGATGACGATGCTGCTGGTGATGATTTTGATGCAGGTGATGATGCTGATGATGCTGCTGCTGATGATGATGCGGATGATGATGATGATGATGATGATGCTGATACCGATGTTGATGCTGCTGCTGCTGATGATGATGATGATGATGACCATGATCATGATTCTAATGTGTCTGATTATTCTGATGATGACGCTGATGATGATGACGCTGACGATGACGATGCTGCTGATGCTGATTATGCTAATAGTGTTGATGCTGACGATGAGGATGATGATGATGATGCTGATGCTGATGCTGATGCTGATGATGTTTATGATGACGATGATGATGCTGATGATGTTGATGCTGATGCTGCCGATGCTGCTGCTGATGATGATGCTGATGATGATGGTGATGTATGGTGACGACGCTGATGACGATAATTCCGAGGGTGATGCCTTCGCTTCCAATGCCGCTGCTTCTGGAGATGATGTTGATGCTGCTGCTGCTGATGCCGGCGATGATGCTGATGATGGTGGTGCTGCTGCTGGTGGTGATGCTGATGGTGACGATGATGACGATGATGCTGTTTATGATGATGCTGTTGGTGCTGATGATGATGATGATGATGATGATGATGATGAATGCTGCTTATGATGATGACGATGATGATGCTGATGATGAGGATTCTGATTAGATTGGTTATGCTGCTGCTGTCGCTGATGATGATGATGCTGATGACGATGATTATGATGCTGTCGATGATGATGATGCTGAGAGACATATTATGTTGATGATCATGCTGATGATGACGATGAGGATGATGCTCACGATGATGACGATGATGAAGATGAAGATGATGATGGTGCTGATGATGATGATAATAATGCGGACGAGGATAACGATGCTGATGATGGTGATGATGCTGATGCTGATGCTGATGCTGCGGCTGATGATGCTAATGATGATGATGATGCTGCTGATGATGATGATGCTGATGATGCTGATGATGATCATAAGCATGATGCTGCTGCTTATGATCATGATGGTGCTGATGATGCTGCTGATGATGCTGCTGATGATGCTGCTGATGATGCTGATGATGATGATTCTGATGCTGATGCTGATGATGATGATGATGCTGCTGATGCTGATGATGCTGATGATGGTGATGATGATTATGATTATTCTTATCATTTTTAGGATGATGGTGATGGTGATGATGATCTGATGCTGATGATGCTGATGCTGATGCTAATGCTGATGATGCTGATGATGCTGCTGCTGATGTTGATGATGCTGCTGCTGTTGCTGATGCTGATTCCGATGCTGCTGCTGATGATGCTGCTGATGTTGATGACGCGGATGCTGCTGCTGTTGATGATGATGCTGCTGATGTTGATGATGCTGCTGCTGTTACTGATGCTGATTCTGATGCTCATGCTGATGCTGCTACTGATGCTGCTGCTGATTATGATGATGCTGCTGCTGGTGCTGATGATTATGATGATGAATATGAAGCTGCTGCTGCTGCTGCTGCTGATGATGATGATGATGATGAGGATACTGATGATGATGATGATGATGATGATGATGATGATGATGGTGATGGTGATGATGATGATGATGATGCTGATGCTGCCGATGCTGCTGCTGCTGATGATGGATGGTGATGATGATGATGATGATGATGATGATGAGGATGCTGCTGCTGATGATGCTGATGATGATGATCATGATCTGGAGGAGGAGGAGGAGGAGGAGGAGGACGAGGACGAGGAGGAGGAGGAGGACCATGATGAGGGGGATCGTCAGTGAGGATGGCACAAGGAGGATGGCAAGGGAGTAGGGGGAGGACAAGGAGGACTAGGAGGAGGTGGTGCGGGCCACCAGGAGCACGGCTACGGAAACCACAACGTCACCGCGGGCGTCATCTTTGTTTCTTCCATGATCGCGCTGTTGGGGGTGCACCTTCACTCGAGAGTTGTCTGCAACGAGCCCACGGACTCGATGCTCTCGTCCATCTCGTACTTCGCGCACGGGCTGATAGGCCGCGGGCGATTCCGAAACAAGTGGCACGCATGCCCTGGCTCGTGCACGATGGAGCGGGGAGGGAACGGAGAAGCGTGGGGCCCAGGTCGAAACGCCCCCCTCCCTCCCTCAAGGTGGGGGTGGTCGAACTGGTCCCCCCCCTGAATTGCAGGGGGGGGTTCGAACTGACCCCGACTCTTGCAAAAGCACTGGAACAGATTTTACGGTTCTTGGTCCGTTGCCTCCCAGGCTGGACGTTCGTCGCGGTCATCTTGGAGGCCCCCTCCCTGGCGGCCGCAGGGGCTGGGCCCGATCGCTTTCGTCGTCGAAGCCGCCGGTCGCCAGTCGCTGGTCCTCGTCGCCGGCGGGGCCCGCTGGGCCCTCCGCCAGCGGGCCAGATCGTGATCCACTGCTGGAGGCCGACCAGTCCTGGCCGCCATATTTGGGCCCTCCACCTGTCCAGACCTTGTCACGGTGCCCACATCGCAGAGCGGCTTTCGGTCGGAAAACCATTTGATGGGCCCAGACTGTCCTGGAGAATTTGGTTTCGGATTTCGAAGTGAATTTCGTGCGGATTTTTTTTGCCAGGAAGGAAGCCAAAACCAAATCCACGTGAACTTCACTTGGTTTTTCGCTCGCCGTCTCGGGGTTTTGCACTGACAGAAATCCATTCGACAATCCGCTGCAGCATGTCTGCCCGGTCGGTGCAGTGACTTGACGTCTCGACAAGCCTTTGGGGGGAGGTTCTCCGCCGTCTCTGGTCCGCGGGGGGCGCCGGTTTTTGTGGGCCGCGGGGCCGTCGAAGGGCTACTGCGGGACGACGTGCTGGTGCTGGGGTCAAGTCGTGCGTGTCCCTCTACAGGAGGAATACTTAAACATAGTGAGCTACCAGTCCAGGGATTATTTTTCGAGTATTTTTGATCTTTGGTTGAACATTTTTCCGACTATTATTGTTTTTTCGCCCAAGATGCCCCTGCAGGAGGAAACGCCGGGCCTAATCCTGGGGAAGGGGCCGAGAGCTTGCGGGGTGAGCGTGGGCAGAACCGCGACGTCGGGAGTCTTGGGTCACCCACGCGCTCCGAGCCTGGCCGGGCCCGGCCTGGGCACTCGGATGTGTGCGCACTTGCGCCTCATGCCTCCGTCCTCTGTGCTCCCCGTCCCTCTCGGAGGCCAGCTGGGAGCCTGGTGGATCCTGGTGGGGGCCCCGTCGGGCCGTCTGGGAGGCCTCCTGCGCTGCAGAGCAGCGCGCCGGCAGTCTTCCCGGGGACTCGCGGGGCTCTGCTGGGCCCAGGGCGCCCTGCCTGCTCCCCCCTCCTCCTCCTCCTCCTCCTCCTTCCTCCTCCTCCTCCTCCTCCTCCTCCCCTCCTCTCTCCTCCTCCCTCCTCCTTCCTCCTCCTCCTCCTCCTCCTCCCTCCTCCCTCCTCCTCCTCCTCCCTCCTTCCCTTCCCTCCTCCTCCTCCTCTCCCCCCTCCTCCTCCTCTCTCCTCCTCCTCCTCCTCCTCCTCCTCCTCCTCCTCCTCCTCCTCCTCCTCCTCCTCCTCCTCCCCTCCTCCTCTCCTCCTCCTCCTCCCCCCTCCTCCTCCTCTCCTCCTCCTCCTCCTCCTCCTCCCTCCTCCTCCTCCTCCTCTCTTCTGCTGCCCCCTCCCGCCAGCCGCGGCCTGCGGGGCCCGTCGCCCGGGGCTCCGAGTCCTGGCTGCGCGGTCGGGCCCTTTCTCGCTCGCTGCGCTCCGGGCCCCTCGGTCCGCCCTGCGCCTCGGTTCGGGCCCCTCGGGCCCTCGTTCGCTCGGGCTTTCACGGAGTTAGCGCGTGGACTCAAACCCACGCACACATGAAGAAACTGTCTTCTGCTTCCCTGCCTGTCCCCCCCCCAGGCGTCCGAGGTCGTGAGTTTTTGCAGTGCGCGGGCCCCGGCTCTGTCGATCCATTTCCAGGAGCGCTCGTCGCGGGTAGTTTTTTGGACAGTCTCGGGGCCCCACAGCTCAGGAGGGGAAAAAACACATAGACACAATTAATGGGCGATTCTCAGAAAATATGGGAAAATATGGGAAGTGGGGGGGAAGACAAAAACCCGGAAAATATGGGGAAATATGGGGGATATTTTTATTTGTGTGTATTTATTTGTGTGTCCCAGTTCCCCTTCAACAGCGACCCCCCGCGGTCGAAAACGGCCACCATTTTCCGCCTCTTGATTTCTCAAGACGTCGGAGGTCTGTGCTGCCTCTTCCCCTTCCGAGGCTGCAGCTCCTGGGAGGGTGAAGACAGCCTCGGCCCTGGGGTATCTTGGTTGGAATGCAGCCCAATCCTGCTGAATTCTTCTTGGTGCGCTCCTCTTCCTGCCTGTCTGTTTGTAGCTCTCTCTGTCCTGCCATCTATGTTCCACACGTGCGAATCATCTTCCACTACGCCCGGTTGCCGGGACTGCGTGCCCCATACGCCTACCCTCTTGGAGGACCGCCCCATAGGGGCTGGAGTGTGGGTCGCATCGCATCGCATCGCATCGCATCGCCAGCCACTTCTGCCCCATCCTGCCAGCATCCTGCTTGACTTCATCTGGCTTGATGCCTCGTTCATCGCGTTCGACAATGTACAACGATTTCCACGAGCATCTCCCAGGAGTCGTCTCCTAAGAGAGGGGGGGTTGGGGCGGGCTGGTCGGCCGAGAGTCGCAAACCGAGGCCATCGCTCACGGCAATGGAGCACCGCCCCAGGAGAGGCGCTGCCTTCTGGAGGGAGGCGAGGGGGGGAGCGCCAAGGGTCGGAGATCGAGGGAGAAGGACGGATGGAAGTGCGCGGAGGAGGAGATGAGGATGACGATTCGGATGAGGATGAGGACGAGGATGAGGCTGATGATGATGATGATGATGATGATGATGATGATGATGATGATGTTGCTGCTGCTGCTGATGATGATGCTGCTGCTGATGTTTATGATGATGTTGAAGATGATGATGGTGATGATGCTGATGATGCTGCTGATGATGATGCTGATGATGATGCTGATGACGATTATGATGTTGATGCTAATAAAAATGCTGTTGATGATGACGATGCTGACGATGCTGAAGACTATGATGATGGTGGTGGTGGTGGCGATGGCGATGGCGATGGCGATAGCGACGATGTCGACGATTACGATGCCGATGCGATGATGATGATGATGACGATGATGCTGATGCTGATGCTGCTGATGATGATGATGATGATGATGATGATGCTGATGATGATGATGATGATGATGCTGATGGTGCTGATAATGATGCTGCTGCTGCTGATGATGACGATTCTGATGATGATGAAGATGATGATGATGATGCTTCTGATGATGATGATGAGAATGAGGGTGATGATGAGGATGACAATGAGGATGCTGATGATAATTGTGATGGTAGTGACGATGATGATGGTGATGCTGGTGATGATGCTGATGGTGATGATGCTGCTGCTGCTGATGATGATGATGATGTTACTGCTGCTGCTGATGCTGATTCTGATGATGATGCTGATGATGATGCGGATGCTGCTGCTGATGATGATGATGCTGCTGGTGATGATGATGAGTATGGCGATGATGATGATGATGATGATGTTGATGATGATGATGATGATAATGATGATGATGATGCTGATTATGATGATGATGATGATGATGATGATGATGATGATGATGCTGACGATGATGTGGAGGAGGATGAGTATGAGTATGCTGATGATGATGATGATGCTGATGATGATGATGATGCTGCTGATGATGACGATGATGATGATGATGATGATGATGATGGTAATGATGATGCTGTTTTTGCCGATGATGATGATGATGATGATGATGATGATGATGATGATGATGATGATGATGATGATGATGATGATGATGATGATGATGATGATGATGATGATGATGATGATGATGATGATGATGATGATGATGATGATGCTGATGATGATGATGATGATGGTGCTGCTGATAATGATGATTGATGATGATGCTGATGACGATGCTGATGATGATGATGCTGCTGCTGGTGATGATGATGATGATGATGATGATGATGATGATGATGATGATGATGATGATGATGATGATGATGATGATGATGCTGGTCATGACGAGGATGAGGCTGATGATGATGATGATGATGATGATGATGAGGAGGAGGAGGAGGAGGAGGAGGAGGAGGAGGAGGAGGAGGAGGAGGAGGAGGAGGAGCAGGAGGATGAGGCGGAGGCAACCGCGAACGCCCGAACGGGCCCTAGGGACCGGCCTCCAGGTTTGTGGCGGTGGCCAAAGACGCGATCCAAGACCGACCTGTCCCGCAACCCTGCGTGGCGTAGGCGGCTGCAGAGGGCGCGTGCCCCTCTCGCGAACACTACTTTGCGCTGCCAACGCGAAGGCGCTTTTCAACAGCTACCACGGTGCACAGTGACCACCCCGACCCATGCTTCAGACTGCCACCATGGCGGCGAAAGCCTCGACACAGTACCTGCCAGTTTGGCGACCTCGAGTTCGTGAATTTCTAGCGAATCGCAAAAGCCATGGCACTACCAACAGTCAATGGAGCAGGACAGGCCAGGTGGCAGCTGTACGACTCGCACTGGAACCGGAAACACGACAAAACACTCACACATAAAGACGTGACATCCCCAACCCAAAAAAGTAGGACGACCGGGACGACAACGGGAAGACCAACTGTGACCACAACGTCATGGTCGGCATCGTCATTTCATACTCCGCACCGAATTCATGGGGCGATGAGATGCGAGGAATTCGGGGGAGGCGCCGAGATCCCCAAAAACAGGGTGCACATGCCGAGATCCCACGCTCTGGCCGCGCTATGAATCAGTGCGCCGACATCCCCACCGAAGGCTTAGTCAGAGAATTGCGCTCGCGAAGACCATGATATTGATTGTCCGTCAAGGACCAGCTCGAGGACTTCGACGAGCGCCGCAATGACCCGAGGGAAGCGAGGGCCACTGCACAGGGACACCACGACACTACCAACGCTTTCATCACCACCGCCAGCGTCGAGACCCAAGGCCGCGATCATAACAAAACAGAGGAGCGCTACCCCGCGCCCGCCTCATCGGCATGCCCTGGACACTGGAACAACATCACTGGGAACGAGCAACCATTATTCGGGGACAAACGGCACCCAGGGTACCACCAAAAAGTTCAAACAAGAAAAAGCTGCCGCAGCACTAATAAAATCTACCGTGCCCAGCACAGAGCCCGCCACCATCGTCCACAAGTATGAGAGCCGTGGAGAGCGTTGCGGCGCCGGAGCGAGATGGAGAGCCCGCGGGGCAACGCCAATGCTCATTCCAGAGCGTCAGCGACATCCGCGGGAAAAGCGAGGCGACTCTCAAGAGCGCCGCTGCAGAGCGCGTGGAGAAGGCACAAGCCTTGGGACGAGAGCTGTCCACGCATGAAACATCATGACGACACAATCCGCAAGTTCCGCATGGGAGCCTGCCACAGGGAGGCGGTACTCCGGACCGGCTTGTGGCGGTCATCAAGACCCTTGCGAGGAGCGCCAGGTGTGGCAAGAGTCGACAGGCAAGCTCAGGGTTGCACGACGTGAGGGAGGCCACGTAGCAGCATGCTACGCAGCAGTTGGATGTAGGATGGCGCGAAGCAGCGACGACGCCACTGGCGACCCATGGCCCAGCGCAGGCAAGGGCGGCGTGCCGCAATGACAGGATGCAGCGAGACGATGAGAAAGAAGCGCAGAGACAGCGCTGCAAGTGCCGCCGCGAGATTGACCATGCCAATGAACAGATTTCCAGCGCGAGCGCAGCGAGCGCACCGTCCCAGGGCAGACAGCCCAACTCGAAGGAAGAGGGAGAGAAATCGAGATGACAGCCGTGGAGACAGCTGCGGCAGCAAAATATCACGCGCAGCTTGTCAAGGAAGAGGCAAGGCGCATGTGCAGCGTCGCCGAGGCGGCCGGCGCCCAGAATCACGTGGAAATCTAAGGCCGCGCGGGCGAGGTCGAGGAGAGGGGGAGCTTTGGCGTGCGCGCGCGCATGGAGCGCCGAGAAATTTGTAGACGCGATGCGGTTGAGGGCCCTCTCGGAACGCCGGGCTCGTCGCGTCCGCGGGGCGCTCCAGGCCGCCCGCGTCAATGTCGGTGTGGTCGAGGAACATGGGCTCGGGTGGACGGGGTGCCGAGATAACTCCTAGTCGAACAGTGTGAAGTTTGCGGAAAAAAGGCCAACCAGATCCGCGACGGGGTGCCCGGATGCTGCGCGAGGCGAGGGAGCTTCGCGGAAAGCGCCCGGGAAGGCATGACTAGTTGGAGACGCGTGCGCCAATTGCAGGGAGGGGGCGCGCCGAAGCGCCGACCGTGGCTTTCAGTGACTGCGATGCCAGGGCCGAGCGCGCCCGCGTCGACGGGGCGACGTCGTTGTCGTCGCCGACAGCCCAGGGGAGTGGGGGTCAAGGGTGCGGGGGGGGGGGGCTCGCGGCCGAGTTTGCGCGGTGGAGGCGGGCTCCACGCGCGCCGAGAGTTTCGATCTCATGGGGGGCAGCGGCGGCGATGCGGCCCAGGTCGAAGACCCGATCGGGGTTACCTATGCATCGCCCAGCACGTTGACGGGCCCAGGGGGCCCGCGGCCAAGTTCGACGACCCGCGCGGGCCATTGTATGTTCCGGAGCTGCAGCCGCCGATCGGGGGCGTCGCCTTGACGGCCTAGCTACGCCCGCCCATGACAGGCGCGCCAGTGACAAGCGCGCCCGAGAGGAAAAGTTGCCGTTTTGTCTTCGCCGATCGGCGCGGGCGCAAGCGCGCCCCCCCCCGCGCATGTCGACTGGTCTGGGCCCATTCCCCTTGTCTGCTTGCGCGACTGGCAGAATGAGATCGACCCGGCGCTGGCTCAGGTCCGCGGCCCTCCCCCGCCGGCCAAGCGCGTGAGAGTGGGCGCCGGGCCCCGAGCGGCGCGACGGGGAGGTCGCGCTCGAGAAGCCGCGAGGACATGGCGGGAGAAACGGGGGCACCTTCGCGGCCGAGGCGCGATAGGAAAGCGGCCGCGCTTCGCGCTGCCGGCGCGGCGCGGGGCGAGGGGGGCGCCGGCGATTCAGCCGCGGGCCGCTGGGGGGTGCGGCTCCCGAGATAGCGCGAGCCGCGGCGCAGCCGCGGGGGCTGCGCCTGCCGCGAGCTCGCCGAAGACCGCCCATCATCGTTTTTAATGCACCCGACCTCTGGCGCAGGCGAGGCGCCGAAATTCGCGGCCCAACCCGTGCGATGGCTGTTTTTCGCGTGCAGAGGCTGCTTGGCGAAGGGGCCGATGCTCTGCTGGGGCGCTGGTGCTGCCAGCGATGCATGTGCGCTGGTGGCCCGCGGGCGTCTGGCGTTATTGTCGCCGAAGATGTGGCGGCCACCGCCTAGCTCAGCGACGCCGCGGCCGCGCGCAATGCTAGGTGGGCGCCGCCGCGACGACGCGCGCGTGCCTCGCCTCCCAGCAGGCCGCAGAGGGCGCGGCAGGAGCGACGACGCTCTGTCGGGCTGCCCAGACCAGCCGACGCCTGGGGGCTGGCGCGGGGGGGGCGGCGGGCCGCTCGGAGCGCGCGCCCGCCCCCGAGTGGGGCGCCCCTCGCGCCGAGCGAGCCCGTCGCATGCTGGTTCCGACGCGCCCCGCCCCGCCCAATCTCTAGACCAATTTCCATGCCTTGATCGAGGGGCCGGAGGGATTCCCTCCTGCCGCGAGGGCG